GATATATAGTCCCGTCTGTTTTAATTTCAAAAATTATGCGAAAAAGATTGAGATATTAATAGAATATTAATTTATAGAAAACAATTTTTGTTTTTATTACGGTAGAATTTATCTCAATTGATTATGACTTTTACGGTCATTCTCTCGGTGACATGACTCGTGACTAAAATACATGTGTATGTGTGAACATTTTGACACGTATTATTTAAAGGATTTTAATAGCAATATATATTAGCGATAATATATATTAGGTAGAAAGTTCGATATGTATAATCAGAAAGACAGAATGGGATAATCAGTGCATGGTAATTTGCTTTGAGTAATTTTCAGAGAATATTATAGCGCAGTTTACGCTTTTACATCAATGTGTGTATCTCATATAATAAATATAGGATTGTTCATATGAAATCAAATATCTCTCGGGCAATCGGGAAACAGAGAATTAATCGATATTCGATATTTTATTCTTTATTGCAATATAATTCTCTGTTCAGTTTGTGTAAATGAATGGCCAATTTATGCGTTTATTTATACGTAAAATTTATTATTGTACGACAAATTTCTTTATATACAGTAATTTACACGCAATTACAGGAAGGCTGACGACATATTTTCTCAGAGAATCCGCGTACTCGAAGTGTTTTACTTGCTTCCTTACTCTGTGAAACTAAATATCGCATGTACAAAATGTTGCTTAAGTCTGCCGCGAACGGTGCATGAACTTCTTGCATCTTCCTACAAGGTTTAATAACAGCTTGCCAGAGCCGCGCTACGAAGTCAGGAGACAGAGCACTGAAAATCACCGTAGTTGTAGTTGCAATGACATGTTTGCCACGAGCAAATATCCTAGAAGTCCTCGGTGTGTCGTTATGTCGAAGGATTCTGTTGGGATATGGCGTAAAAGGGAAGTAAAGCCAAGCGGTGGCGGCGGTGCCGACCTTTACTTCGTGACACTCGAAAGTCAGCTGAATATTGTAACGCGTACAATGTGCAAAAATGCGAAATATTTGCAGAATATTTCTCCACAAAAAAGTTACCGTGTAAAGTTTAAAATTACGCGATAATACGTAACCGAAGATACTTTTTCCGAAGCAATTTCAGAAAGAAACGTAAAGCAGTTCAAATAGAAAAGTGCTTCTTATTATCCGTTACTCATTTTACATATCGGAAAATATCGCGAATACGCGGAAACAGTTTTGCGCTTGTTAAATTACAATAGTTTGAACAAAATATGAATATATGTATTTATTCATATTAAAAGAAATATTCTCAAACATTAATCAAACCTTAATTTTACAATAGATACATGTTTCTTTTTTCTCTCTTTTTTTCATAAAATATTACATATATTAGAAAAAAATTCGCAAGATATGTACGATCCAATTACCAAGTGTGATAAATACTACTACCGTCTAATTCTGACAATGCTACGTTCACATCTCTCATGCGAAGTTCTCTCTTGCGCGACTCGGCAGCGAGGCGCGAAACGAGCGGCAAATCATTTGCGTGACAGTCGAGATAGATTCAGAAATTAAAAAATCACTAGTACCCCGTTGCGCACGCGGAGGATAAAACCGTTAATTATCCCCGGCCCATTATCTCAACGGTAAAGTCGCACGCGTTCCGCGGCACGGCCGCTTCCGTTTCCGACTTTTATTTACGAGGCTGCCCATGCGACAGACAGAAAAACGGGCTATCGCAAAAACGAGTCCTTCATACGAGCTAATTCGCGCACTTTTCCTTCGGCGCTATATCCCCCGAATTTTCCCCTTTATTGCTGTAGCAAACAATGCAGCGGCGATTAAAGCGGCGAGCTGTACGCAAGTCCGCGATATATATATGTATATATATATATGCGATGAACATAACGCGTACACGATCGAAGGGAGATTAAATGTTCATGACAAAAACCCGACGAGCTTTTTACGCGCTTCTCTACCACCGTTTCATGATTATTTATAGCACAAATGTATTGTGCAATAAACGACATTGGCGAAATTAAAAACTGACAAGACCTCTTTGATAGATTATCGGCAAATTGCACAGTGTTTGTTTAACCAAGGTCTCTGTTAAACAAGTTCGATTAGAATGTTTACACATTTAGTTTGAAAAACCGAATGTGTATTGCTGTCTTGGAGTATTTGGATAATATGAAAAATAGTGCTCGAACACATATATTTTATATACCGATCTATCTCGGTGAGAAAAATCATATCTTTATATATACGTTGTTTGGAAAATATTGGCAATAATGAAAAGTGTTTTGCGAGATACATTGTGCTGATAAAACGTTGCAAAATCTTATACGTCAGATAATTGGATTCGACAACCGCGTCAAATGTTTCCGATCTGTCTCCCAGACGGAGGTCCATCCCCCTTTGCGGAATCTATTAAGAAATGGAAATGATCGACGTCGTTCGCCGACGATTCGCCATTTCCTCAAGAAATTAGAAAGAGAACTTTCGAGAGTTCCGGCACTCCAATAGAAAATGCGACAAGACCGAGCGATGCTCGACAAAAGGATGTTTGAGAATGCCCGGAGAATTCTTTTCGTCGTCGGTTTCGTCGTCACCGCGAAAAATGAAAAAATCGTTCCCGAGAAAGTAATTCTTTATGCGCGCGTTTGAAAGTTTATGTGATTTAAACGCCATATGTGACACACACAGAATTTTATCAAATATATATGTTGCGTATACTTGTGTGTGCGCGCGCGCCCACCGTGCGGAAATGCGCGAAAAAATGTAAAAAGTTTTAACATGGATTTATGACACGAAGCGGCGATAAGAGGATAACCGTGTGCCTGTGTAGAGTTGCGTTGTGCGTCGTCAAAATATAAATCGTTCAGCTCGAAATAACATACGCTTAACACACTGTTGTAATGACAGGGCGTAACGATTAAAATTTCCATCTGGAAGCAGTAGATCACGATTATCGCACAACCGATTCTCGATTGCATCTTTTCACAAACACGCATAGCGCGCCGATTGGATCACAAATCACGCATCAAATACGCGCCGTTCGTTAATCATCGATCACGCAAAGTGCGCTTTTTTTATCTATCACGCGAATTGCATTTATTACATAGATCGTTCTTCCAAAACTGTCTGCGATGTAATTGAAAAATAGTGAATACAATAGATAAATGGTTGATAGCTACATCTCTGAGGGTATAATATTTTACGCCATATATGACCATTTGTATTGAAATTGATATTCTTTCCATCCATGTGCGCCAACAAAAATTTTATTGAGTTGATTTTGCGCGTTCGATAAAATGTTGTAAGTGTTTAGTGTTGTATTTTCTGCACGTGCGGGAGATATTGCAAAAATAAAACGATAGATAGATTTTCACATTATGTTGGAAAACTAATTAGAGTTAATCTTGTTGATCTTTTTACGATGTATAGAGAATATGTAGTTTGTTTGAAGTTCGCATCGTTCGTTTATATACCGCTTATTTAAACATTATCGTCGGATCGCATAGCTAGTGTATCAAAAAAAAAAAGAGAGAGAGAGAGAGAGAGAGAGAGAGAGAGAGAGAGAGAGAGAGAGAGAGAGNGAGAGAGAGAGAGAGAGAGAGAGAGAGAGAGAGAGAGAGAGAGAGAGAGAGAGAGAATCAGTGATGTCACAGACTGTCGAAAGATTACAGGACCAGTGTGCCAGCAAGCGACAAAAATGCCCCAAAGCAGATTACAACCCCCGGCAGTACTGATGGTAGCATATTCCACTTGCGCCTGTATACGAAAAGCATCGTATGTGTGCGTTCACTGCTCGCGCGAGTTAACTGCTATTTGCACGCGAGATCACAAGCGTGTGTGCGTTCAATATTGTTGCACGTATCGGAGGAGGGTATGACAGACCCGCACGTGATTGTGTAGAAATATACACGTAAGTGTGTGTGTGTGTGTGTATGTGCGTGTACGTATCGAACGCGCAAGAGAGTATGTGCTTGGATCTCTCTATATCACGAATACGTGTGTGTATATGTACACATGTGAGACACGAGGCACGAGAAGCGAGCAAAGTGGACTGTGACGTGAGATCATATAGGTGTACGTCAGTGGAAAATCTGGTGGGCCAAGAAGCGTAAAGGTAATCGTCCTGGAATTAAGCAGCCCGTAAGGGATTAAGGTGCATATATAGTCAGGCTGCTCTTGTACGGTATCGTGCGCTGCTCGTGCAACGCTTCTCAACCATTGAGGACGCTCGGCTATATAAAGCTGTATCTTAGCCTAGTGGAACGAAAAAGAAGAGAGTAACAAGAGTTTTGTTAGCATTTTCTTGCGACGTCGCTTTGTACGTGGGTACGAAAATTTAATACACAACTCGCTGAATCAGACTCTGAAATTTAAAGCAATTTACGATTAAACTTTTATATGTATCTCGATTTGTTTGTCGGGAGAATACTCTCTAATGAAATATTGTTGTCGGATTTTTGCTTATGTACAAAATATATTGCACACATCTGCATGTGGGAATTGAAAGATGTTGAAAGACAAATGTTTATCGGTATGAATAGTTACGGTGAAAATACATATATGTCTAAATATACAATGAAAAAAAAAAAAAAAAGAGACAACAGCTCAATGCGAGTGAAAGACAGCCGAAGACAATTTTTCACGTGGATAGTTCGGTGTTTGGAGAGCTTTGTGTCAATTCCTGAAATAAAAGAGTTCGCGGGAATGGACGTAGGATTTTCGAATTGTTGGAGCGTGGATATAGAGACAGCGTCATTTACTTCGTCTGTAACTGAACCCACACGTATATACAACGCATCGTTCTTCAATAAAATACTCTCTAGCAAGCGAGCGAAAAGTTGAAAAGTCGGGTTCAAAAAAAGGAGACTAGAAAAATACGCGGAAAATTTCGTACGGTTCTCTATAAACAGAAATATACGATAGTGATGTTGCGTATTATTATAGTTGCGTGTCTTCGCAAAAATATTACGAACCGCTTTTCTAACGGTAAATAACAACAAGCGTTTATTGCAAAAATCAGAAGCAGAGTATTTAAATTCTACAATTGGTGAATAAATTAATAGAACAGTTTCATTAGGACATATTACATGCACGTGGAAACGGCCGTGTACAAAAGTTTTCTTTATTTCGGCGAACAATAGAAATCTCGCTGTTTCGCGACGGCCCCGGCAAAAGGAAATAATTGAGTTTTGCACTTCTTTTTCTTCTCGCGCGGCAACCATTTTGCCGTTCTTTATCGTTCATTTTTTATTGCGTTGCCCTTCTCTCCTTTATGCGGTACACTTAGTCTTGTACTTTCGTCGGAGATAATGCCACGTTGCCGGAAGGTAATTTTCAAGATAAGATTCTCGAACATTGTTTAACGTTTCACGTACAAACAACACTTTATCGCGGCAGCAGAAAGTACTTCAAAATGCTGCATTTAATGTTTATGACTGCAGTAACTTGCATTACACCCTAGGACATTTTCATTTTATGATTACCGTCTATTTTTTCTCTCGCGTCATCTGCTTGCGACGCAGATTCTTAGCGTTCAATAAGAACGACAATTTAATAGTAAATTTACTACTGGCTAGTCCGGAGAAAACGGATTTTATCGATTGCGTGACGCGCGCATTGTGCGTGGCGAACTTTGACTTTGTCTGTGAAAGTTATTGACTTGGAAACCGACCCTTTAGCTGTGTGAGAGCTTTCCTGTGTGCGCGCGTAACATGTCGCACAATCGCAAAAGCACTTACCTACACGCGTGGTTTCGCACACGCAACATAAAAGAGAGACGTCGCAGAGGCGAGACGCGCATTGGAAACGTTATACGTCTTTGAGCAGACGCGCGTCCCACAAATTTCGGTTACATAGCGATATTCAAATAAACCGCGCTGGAAAATGCTTCGGAGACATAATAAGCCTCCGCCGCGAGAGAAGAATTATTTGGCACCGGCCTGGGAAATGGGAATTTTCACGGTTTTTTTTTTTTTTTTGCCGAACTTCAAACATTCCGCTGCTCCTCTCGATGTATATGGGCGAGATAAGAATTATGGCGCCAAAGTCTTTTCGTGAACGCGGTACTTATTCTCGGAACAGTTCTTAGTTTTAATGCGAAAACTGAGAGGAGCCGTGTTCGATCGATCGCGATAACACCTCTTTCCGCGAGAATTAACATACATCAAACGCATGCGCCAGATAAACATGAAGCCGAATTATATTTCTCCGAGTATTTCGTACTTGATTTCCCGCGCATTACCAATATTTTAAAACACAAAATTTTTAAACGTCAAACGTCAAGAACGTTAACTTAATTTATGAGATGCGGAGAAAATGGGAAATGGCGATGGCGGGGGAGCGAGCGCCTGTGTAAAGGGTTCGCTCTCCCGTTTCGCGTAATTGCACAGTCTTGTATCGTTGAAAATTAAAGCGGACGTGGCGTCTCATCGGGGGATAGTCGAAACGAGCCTCGCGAATTGACATTAATTTTCATGGAAATGCCTGCCGTGGCCCGTGTGCGCGCAGCTACCAGTACGTTATATACACCCGAAAAAAGTGCAAATGTCGCTTACGCTCAGCGGATATACTTGTTCGTCGTAAAAATGCGGCTACCACATGCCGTGATTTGAATTTTATGTTCAACCGCTCTTGAACTTTACTCCACCGGTTAACCTACATCAGTCCCTCTAGATTACATTCGCCGAAGTGATATTTGAAATTGTACAAAAAAAAAAAGACAAATAGAAAAAGACCTATATAGCGCACGATCGTGCATATTATTGTGGAATATATTGCGTGACTGTCGCGATATAAATGGCGAGTAAATCTGAATATGAAAACGCGAGGTTTGAAAATCGCAAAGCCGAATATTCGCGAATAATAAAAGATCGATATTCCGCTACACGCGTGTTATCGATACCAAGTCAGACGGGGGATGAAACTGCTTAGAGGACAACGTCACGCGAGCCAGCGTAAGGGATGTAGCAAAGCCTTGCACCTCTAAACCAGGTAGAGCCGTCAGTCTGCGAGGCGTTTCTGGGGCTCCGGGATATTGGATTGTCCTGTAACATACCGGGACCTCTCTACATCCGCCTTTCCTCGAGCTTGACGTCGAGATTCTGAGCTTCACCTATCTACAACGTAGCCGCGACGAGATGTGACGCGACATGCGCTCGCGATCTCCCACCACCTGTGTCTCCCGTCGATCGGCAAAACGATAGTCGGCACTGTCAGATCCGGAATTGCTTTGGGAATCGCGTTCGGAGGTGCCGACGTCCATCTCCTCGCACATTTCTCTTCTTGCGACTTCTTCAAATGTTCCGCCTGCATGAAAAATTGATTTCGTTTGATGACACACGCGGAAAATATATCTACGAGATATCGCTCGCTCTTCGTAAAATTTTGTTTTTTCATAAAATGATGTATGAATTATACGAGAAAATTGGACGATTATATAGGTACATTTACGATTAAATAGATTGCACTATTTTGTCACTCGAGATTTTTTCATGAAATTTTGCTCAATTGTATGAAAATGAGTTTGTGCATATTTTTATTATTATCTAGAAAGAAAAAAACTACTACATTGCGACATCTCGAGTGACAGCCTGTCCATTTATTAAACTCGACGGTTGACACTAATCCAGACCGACACAAAAAAAAAAAAAAAAAAAAAAAAAAGATGTCGCCGGTGCCCCACTCGACGCGACGAATTAAATGGCAGTCCGAGTGCGACGGTGCAGATTGGAAAATTCGAAACGCTCACCGCACGGTGTGCACATTTTTCAACCAATATGAAATACTATCAACATGTACTACTACGTGTACAAGCGCGCGAAAAAGGGACCGATAAAAAAACATAGGGTAAATCGAATATCCAGTTCACCGAAAATGATACGCGAGTATGGTGTCGTTTTCTAGTAACCGCGCATATTTTCGCCGCGTGCTTCAGTCAGCACTTCTTTTTTTTTTCTCCCCATGAAAATTTCACCGCTAGTGCAAATATGCGCGAACTCTACGCGGTTATACATGAGAAAAGTAAGTACATAGAACTTCTAAAATATCCAGACGCGCGCATTTTTTTTCAACAAAAATATGTGGAAAGTACGTGAATACCTCGCGATGTCATTAATAACGTTAAATGTGTGGATATACATAAAATGTAATACGCGCATCTTATACACATCACGCGATTCAAAAATCAAACTCCGGTTTTACAATTGAAAACGATTGATTTCGCCGAAAATAAATTTCTGTAATAATTACTACAAACCTTCTCTCAATTATTGGTTAATGTGCGAATAATTTGATCGGATCGTTCACCTGATAATTTGCAGATGAGAGTAATTAGATTGGCATGTCGTTTGTGCTTCATCTCTCATCAACCGTTTCCAGCCTGTGGCAAATTCGCGTTGGTATGTATATCGATATCATTTACCAGTTGCATGGGTTGCGTCACAAATTGGATAGCATCCTTAATTAAATTCCGCTCATTTGTCGAAGGCGTCGCTCGTCATACGCGAGATGATTTTGACGTAAGTACGACAGATTCTCTGATTTCGCAAAAAAACATAACAAAAAACAACGTTTGCTGTTATTGATTTAAACGCGGAGAGAACATTTAAAAGCAATAATGCCGATTAATCTTCTTCATTCATGGTTTTATCAAATTTTATCACAATAAATCGGAAAAATGTGTAACCTAACTTTATCTACGTAGAAAGCAAGAGAAAGAACTTCGGACGCATTAGTCCTGCTATCTTTTGGCAAACTCACAAAGAATGAATATACATGAGTACAAAGGGTTCTTTTTAATCTCTCGCCTCAGTAATTTTTTCCACTAGAGAAACTCGTAATGGGTAATATTTTTATAACGGCGGTTTCATATGGTACGACGTCCAGTATAATTTCCCAGCAAAAAGCCTTTTTTAGTAAAAAAAACGAAAAAAAAAACGCGCTGCCGCTTGTCTTGCGTTTGTTACGGAGCGTTGAGGTAGGGGATTTATCTTTAGAGCATGAAGATGAAGCTGAATGAGAAAATTAATGGTTTCTACTAATTATATAAATGTTGTAAAAATATAACTGTCAAAGAATTTGTGTGTAAAGCTTGTATCTAAACATTTATTTAATGTTGGTAATACTCAAATGAAAGAATTTTATTTCAATCAAAGTGTGTCTTTTCTCTATAATAATATAATTTGTATCACATATTTCTGAGAACCACAAATGTGTCATGAGACTAATTCACAATTTTGATTAGTAACGTAATGATATTGCAATATTAAGATTGCATTAAATTTGTGTATGTAAACTAAATTAATATATTAATAAAATAACGCAATATGTCGATGTTCTAACAGAGTTTGTACAAATGTAAACAATATTTTACATTTACATATTATACATTGTGTAATGTAATCGCATTATCTAAAATTCTCATGTATATTATTAATCGTAATATTGTTATAGAAACGTATGTAACATATTTATGTGTGTATTATATTGTTATATAAAATTATAATATTGAAACTACAATTAATCACATGCGCAGTCGACTGACGCCCATCGGGGGTAGAAGAGAGAAAACTGCGGATAAAATTTAATGATGGATCATGCGCATCTTCTTCTTGATTTGTCGCCTGTGAGCATTTAAATTCCCCAAATCCAAACTTGTTCTACTAGGAGAGCTCAATACTTTCCTCTCGGAACACGTTTCGATTTATCCCAGGAGAGCGGAAAGCCAGGAAACTTTGGGAGAAGAAGAAAGGTGGCTGCCGCCACGTGATTCGACAAGGGGTTGAATAAAGGCGAGAGTTAGTTCTCGGAAAGCCGGAGGAGAATCTATCTATGTATCCGTATTATCCCTTAGCTGCCGACACTTCGACCAACTTTCAAGTATCGATCTACGTACCACATAGTTTGCCTTAAAATGTCTTCCCCGTCGCTCACTTTTCGCAAATCTTAGGAATCCATTTTGTGAACTAATTTCATTTGCACGATGTTCGCGAAAGCAATGTACAACAAACTTATTCTGAACACACAGTTATTATTAAATGTCAAGCGAAAAAGCGTTACTACGACAACAACAGGCGTGTGTGTTGAACTCTTGTCTCTAGATATTTAGAAAACTACCAAAATGTACAAAATATAATAACGTATAAATTTCTATTTTACTTCCCCATTCTTTTTAACCTGCGGCATTGCTATGTATCCCGGAGAGGTGTCCAGAAATATAAAATTCAGAGGATCATCCTGACAGAGAAGCGTTGTGCGTGAACAGGTAGAGCAGTCGCGCCGGTGTCGGGCTTTTCTGGATTTACGACTGGATATTATGCAGATGGTACTTGCATTAAATGCACCGACAGCGCAGTGCGCTACGAAGAGAGAAAGAGAGAGAGAGAGAGAGAGAGAGAAAGAAAAAAAAAGAAGACGCTGAAAGCTCGCGGAGAGCGAGAACTAATTGGCGGACGGCATTCTGCGCGACTAGCGGCCAAATTGTTTTCGTGTATCTGCTCTTTCGCACGAAACATTCCGGCGTGAAGAAAACGCGACGTGTTACGTATCGAACGGACGAGAATCCTATGCAAAAAGCGACAAAGCATGCAAATTTGTAAATATGGAGATTCCGAGGAGATCCCTGATGCAAATTGCCGACGCGTGGAATTATGCGCTGAACGAACGCGCTGTACAAAATTTATAAATTATTCCGATCTGCATGCGCGTTTAATTGATTTAAAAGATGGATTGTGAACCGCGGATAATAATAAAAAACAACAACTGAATCGGTATGCTAATCGTATTTGTGTTCGAATATTAAGGTTATTGCTTAACGGGCGTGATTAAGCTCGTTTCGCAGCGGGATATAAATTCCCTCTAGTAATCATCGTTAATTTTTTTACAAAGAGAGAGAGAGAGAAAGAGAGAGAGAGAGAAGTGTGTGTTGCGTGTACACTCTCTCGCAATTAGTCCACCGCGCCAGTGTGCAATTCGTCATTATGCTCATGTTATTAACTCAAACCGTACATGCCGTGAATTAAAACGAATTCGATGATATCGATAACTCAATGAGTCGACGGACGTCGTGTTTGCTGAGGTCAACAAAAACTCATTGTTCGAGTGCCTAATTATTCTACACACACACTGCGCTATTTATCCTTATCAATTGAAAACTATACCAGCAATGTTGTTGCAATTCAAAAATATTTTTATCTTTTAATTAAATCATTGTGTTCTGTATTTTTATCTTATTTCAAGAACGATAGATAGATAGGAGTGTGCAATAACATTCGTGTGAATTTATATCACGGATTTAGAGTTGCGCTGCAGGGAGTGATGGATAAGCGCACAATGATTGTACGTAAGAGAAAGAAAAACGTGACGATATTTCAATATGACAATTAATCAGTCAGAAAGGAAAGACTTAATTGGCGAGCGCATGTCAACATACAATATCGTTTCGCACGGTGCCGCTGGCTGTAAGCAACGAGCTTTTACGTATCGCATTTATAGCCGGGCACGAGCAATCCGACACGGTATCAAATACACACAGCAGCTACCGGTGCAAGGCGATTTCCGTATTTTCTGCGCGAATGCCTTCTATCGTCGTGACTTTGCGTTTCGCTGTTTTATTACGGCCGCACATTTGTACACAGACGTTACGTATAGTTATGTGCAACGTAGCACACTTATTGTTAGCGCCGGAGTTTTATCGCCTCTGGTGTTGAGATATATTTTAACCTGAAATTGTTCGCCTGATAGAAACGGCAAAACATTAATTTATTTCAGGTTTCTCGAAATAATTGCGAGCGCGTAATTTGTGAAATAGTAAATTATATTTTTAAAACATCACGTGGTTTAAATTATTTTATAAAATTTTTGGTTACAAGTGTAACTACGTTACGAAAAAATTAAAATTTAAGTAGAATTTGTAACTTTTTACAGATAAATAATATATTTATGCAAAATATACAGAAGATGTTACAATCGTAATAATTTCTCTCGATAGTGATGTTTCGAATATCGGTCGTTAAAGAAGATATCCGAGAGATTGGATCGACAATTACCCACATTGGGATGTTCGATCAGGATATTTATGGGCTTAGAAATCGCAGTAGGCCGACAAACGATCGTTACTGCCTCTCAGAGTATATTTACTGCCACCGCGATGGCGCGCCAATTGCTACCTGATGTAGTAGTCGTTTAGAATAGATTGCGAATGTTGATTTTGGTGAGGAAAATCGCTGCCATTAAGTTGATCCATTAGTTTGATGTGTTCGATTTATATTTTCAGATTATTATTAAATCGCGAATATAATTTTACGTTAATATCCTCTTAAAAATATTGCTTCAATAGAAGCAATATTTTAACAATGTTAACTTTTAAAATTTCAAGACTTTGGAAAAGTCAGCCGCATTGTGAAGCTTATAGTATCACGACCGTCTAAAAGGCACGTGCAATGACCAAACCGGATGAAACAAATATTTTCTTAGTGTGTTTGCACTCGAAGAGTGTTTGTATTCTTGGCGCAAAAGGGCCAGGCGAAAAACGGCGTGAGAAAAATGAGAGGCGTCAAGTATTCGACTTTGAGAAAAGCGCAACACTCTTCAGTAATCGTTGATCCTGAGGAACGACGAGGTTCGTCGTCGACCGAGATCAGCTCTCCCGGAAGATAATCGAACGAGAATGTTACTTTCCTCATATGTGTGTGTATACGTATATGTGTGCGTACGGTAATGTTATCGACTCCTTCTCACACCGCCCTTTCGCCCTCACCGTTCGCCACCCACATCTCGTCGAGCTCTTACTGCGTCCGAGGAGTTTCTAACCGATTGTGTACACAGTCCCGATAACGAGAAGCTCGCGCATATACAGCGCCGAACACAAAGCAAATATTGAGCCTTTATCGACCTGACCTAACGCGATCCGCCGAAGAAAATCGCTATCTAAGATAGCGCTGTAGGCGTGAGAGAGATATACGTGAACTACTTCCACGAACGCTTATCGATCGTGTACACCGTGCCCTTGTTCTACGACTAATGTACTAGATACTTCAACTTTGTCTGCACGCATGTACCACGTACATGTGTGGATACACGTAGGTATGCCATTACCGCGCACTCCTAGACTTCCCAACACGAGAGAGAGAGAGAGAGAGAGAGAGAGAGAGAGAGAGAGAGAGACGTTTCGATTAAAATTACTTCATATGTTACATAGTTTTAGTACATTATATATATTGTATATATATGTTATGTATAATATAAAATTTATAAAAAAGAAAAGTTTTTTAATAAAAAGTTATTTTGTTACGTTTAAATCTATTATGTGTGCTGTATATAGTTGCGCAATTTTTATCATTTATTGATATTTATGATCTCTTTATTGAAAAGCAATTTCTTTTCAACAGTGTTCAAGTGTTAGGGCTTAATAATATCGGCATCTGACGCAGTTGCGGATAACTTTTGATGAAGACTAATGAATTTCAGAAAGAAGAAAAGAGAATGTGTGAGAGGAGAAAGTATACCAAAGAAATATATATATATATATATACGTAATATATAAAAAAATAAAAGAGTTGCAGGCTTTAGATATCGAAAACAAGTAACGATGAAGGCGGTAATTGGATTCGATAGAGAAAATATCATTGTAATGGTTTTAATTATTATTCACCATGACACTAATGAGTTTCTCAGGCTGGTTCCTTTAATGAAAATATATTATTCTCTTGTATTCCCC